CGGCTGTGCGTTCCTCCGCGGAACGATTTGGAAAATCCGATTTTCCTCCGTAGTAAAGAAATTTCCCCCCGCCAGTAAAACAATTTTCCCCCGTCGATCTGCGCGGGACGATTTGGAAAATCCGATTTGCCGAATCGATGCGCGCGGGACGCACTGCGCCCTGCGCGACGGCCGCGCCGACGCGCGCCCGACGCCTCGGCGCGGCGCGCCGAGGCCGCTGCGCGAGCGCAGCGATGCCGAAAGCCACTGGGCTTCAGACGTGCACGTCCAACGCGCGCGCGGACCTGCGCTCGATGGCGCAGACGCCCGACCACGAATGACGCACGCGCGGGCACCGCGGGCACGTGGAAGCACGTCGGCGACGACGCCCTTCCCGCGCCGCCGACCGTCAACCGCGCGCCGTTTCGCGCCCGCGCGCGCGCCAAGCCGCTTGCACGCCAAACCGTTGCAGCAGCCATCGCGGCCGTCGGCCGCCACCTCTGCGGCGGCCCGTCGCGCCCCCGCGCGCGAACGCGCCCCGCGCGCTTCCATCGGAGGCGGCGCCGCCAGCCCGCGCCGCGCCGCTGGCGGCCCCGACCGCCGCGACGCATCGCGCGGCGAACGCTGCCGAGCACGAAGCACACTTTCGCAAATTACGCTGCGCGCGACGCATTGTGCAACGGACGAGCTACACCACCGAACTGGCATTGTTGCCTGTTCGCCCACAGCGCCAGCTTGTTGTTGAGATGCGACGCCAAGTCGGTGGGCCAAGTGCCACCTGGCCCGCCCACCTCGCCCACGCTGCCGTTGAGAACGCGCTGGGGCCCCACTGGGACGGTGCGCTTGAGCCCAACTCGGCCCCGATGGCGCACGTGACATGGCGTGCATGTCGCAACGAGATTAGAGCTCGTTTGGTCGAAGTGCGCTGGCTGAAGCTGGAAGGACATGTGCGCTGGCGTGACAAGGCGCACGTAGGGCTCCGACGCGAAGTTTGGGCGGCCCACGTGCGAGCCCCCCACCCGCCCGACGTGTTCCGATACACGTGACAAGAACAAGTGCGCCTCGCGCGTGCAGTCGCACCGTGCGCGCGCCAACCAATCGCGGTCGCAAGCGGATGGCGACGCCGCTCGTTTCGGAACTCGGGGCCCGCCGCCAACGCACAGGGGCATTGCCGACGCATTACGCGGGCGCTGACCCGAAACCGCAGCGCCAAACCGAAGGGCGCGCTGCGCGGCTGAGATGCGCGCCATGGGGGAGGGGGGCAGACGGCGCAGCGCTGCTCACAAAGGCCGCGGTCTTAGCATGCTGCCACCGACGCGCCCTCTCGTGTGGGCCCACTGCTCGGCGCATGTCTCTCGCGCCGCCTCCGCCGACGCGAAATGGCGCGGCGTCTGGCCGCCTGCGCGGCCAGACTAAATCGCGCAACCAGCTAGTTGATACGGTGCCGACCTACGGCATTGACGTGCCACCTGGTTCCGCTGCGCGCGCTGAAGCGCACTCGCAGGCCGCATGCTGCCAAGACGGCTTAGATGTCGATGTCGGAGGCACCAGCGGTTGCGTTTTTTTAGCCCGCCGCAGAACCATGCTGTCCCAATCCCCATGGCGAGCGCTTCCCGCTTCCCGCCATGCAAGTCGCTGCCGCATGTCTACAAGTGCGCCGCGGGCCTACACCTGGCACAGCAACACTGGCGCTATTGTGCGCCCGTGTTCTTCGTTTGCATTGCCCCTGTAGAACTACCGCTGCGCCCGACAAACGTGGCTTGCTGAGTTGAAGTGCAACCCGCGCAGACCAGCGCGCCCAGGACGCAACGACTGCGAACTCATGGACAACGCCGAGGCCGTGGGCGAGCGAATGATGGACATCGGACTTGGCGCTGCCTGTCACGCACGCGAGCGGGGCATCGTTTTTCAGCGCCTAACCCGAGGCAGTTCACTTTGGTGCATGCGTGCGCGGCCAGTCATATTTGGGAGTGGCAGCGCCAGAGGCGCGCTCATTAGATGCATGCCACGCAACACTGCGAATGCAAGTGGCTACCGCCCTGCGCCGAGGGAACACGCGAAGCGATATTCCATGCCCCAGGCCGCGCAACCGCCACGATGTCCCGCGACATGCGCCACGGACGGGGCTAACGTGGCACGTCGGAGTTGCGCGCCGCTCCGCGGTCGCAGGGTGGGCAACGGGACCACCGCTGCCCAGTTCGGACAGCCGTGCGCGGTTAGAATCGCACAACGCCTCTGGTTAACCAGTGACTAGGGCAAGCGGGCCGTTCACCTCGTGGCGAACCGCGAATGGTGCAGCCGAACGCAGCGCCCACCACCTGAGCGCCACCGCGCAAGGCACCGCCAGCAATTTCCAGATTTGCGGCTGAACGTCGGCGCGACACAGTCGCAGCGCGACGGCGACGCAGGGTACGGTTGCGCAAATGCGTGTCCGAGGGGACCGCGGTCCTTTCAGAGCTTGAACCGTGCGATGAACAACATCAGCGCTGTATAAAGTTACAGTCTTTCAGTTTTCTTATTATGGCTTACTGCGTGCACATGCTCACGTTGGTTCAAGTCCACTCGTACTCTGACCCATGGGCCCCTTCTTTCTGACGTTGTTAAATGAATCAGTATGTCGCAGGCTTGAGGCACCTATATGCGCGATGCTTTCACCCCTGGCCAGCGCGCCAGGAGGGCCAGCCGTTTTCGACCAACGGTTGATCACCAGTGGGTTGGGGCTCGTGCTTTGTTGTATTGAGTTATTGGACGGCAACAGCCTCAGTATGCAGAGGGTGTTGGCGGCTGTGGTGCGACAGCACTTGCGCCTGAAAACGGCCATTGAAATAATAAGGCACGTGCGATGACGAGTGTAGCTGTGCTCGCGCACCGCGGCGCCCAACGAGCTCCTTCACGCGACGGGCAATGCTGGGCCTATGCGTTGGTGGGCCTGGTGGGGCTGAGGCTACAGGAGGCTATGGCTGGCTACTGGGCCCGTCAGGTCCTGACCGTGTCATCTGGAATGGTTTCGGGCGGCTGCTGCGACTGACACGGTGACCTGCTGCCCTTGTGGGAAAACAGAGACTCGACCTACTTGGGCCTGACCTGTAGCACTTCAGAGCCCTCAGGGTACCCTCGTCGCCCTTCCCACTGGCAATCCTCATCCTATACTCGCATAATACAACCATACACGCAGCTACACACCATACACGTGCTATACTTTCATCCTCCTTTTCCACTCCCTGAACTCTGGTTGGGGGGACGTGCCACACCCTCAGTGCCAGCGCATGTCACGGCCATGCCCCGTTGAGGTAGTGGCACGCAGCTGTCAGTATCGTCACCCAGTGTGGACGCATAAGGTTCCTCCTCCTCCCTCCATTTCTGCCGTCTCCTCGCCTTCCTATTCGGTCCGTTCGACCTCCACGTATTCCTCTCGCGATGGCCCTTCCTCTCATCCATCTTCGGCGCCGTCGCAATCCTCTCCTTCCTTCCTTTGCCTCCTCGGCCTCCTCCACGGGCCGCCCTGCCAAAACAGATGGCGCCCCTGGAGGCCCCGCCCCCGCCTCTCGAGCAACGACCCCTCTCTCGGCGACGGGTGGCAGGTCGAGCTGCAGCCAGGGGGGGCAGATTCCGTCTCTTCATGGGGGCGGCATTTGCTCGAGCGGGACACGGCCGTCATCGCCGATCCGATCGGGCAACTGTTTGGAGTCGGGGGCTGGGGGCCGCAGGCGTTCAACCCGAGGGGAGAGGGGGGGGGGGGGCGCCAAGCTAGGACCGTAGTGGGCACTGATGGGGTTGCCAGGGGGTGAGCACGGAGGGGGAAAGGAGTCATGCGGAACGAAAGCAATTACCAGTGCTGCGTGGTGCGTGTTTTGCTAAGGCTCATTGTCGGGCTCCTCAGGCTCACCTGGGCGCCTGCACCGCTCGAAACCGTCGGCGAACCAATGCTCAGCATCGGGGTGCTCTTTCAGAGCGCCCCGCCCATCTATGCGATCCTGCCTAGTCAACGCAAGCGCGTGCTTATGCTCCCAGGCCGAATCAACGCCGCCACCAGCGGCCAACCAGGCAGAAAGAAAACCTAACGGACGGCCTTGGGCCTCCCATTGGGCCCCTAACCGATGAGAGCGCATGAGCGCGCGCTGCTTCTTACATTCTTCGTGCGTTGTACAAACAGCAATCACGAATCCGTGCCCGTCGGGTCTCACATAATGCCTGAGAGCACCACCAGTGACGCGTATAGCACGCACCGCTTTCCCACGAACACCTGGAATGCGAAAGTCTGAATCTGCAGGGCCAAGCTCGCACGGCGGCGGTGGATCTGGGTCGACCACGGGATATGGGTGAGCTGGACCGCCAATGCCATCACCACCAGGGGCCTCCAGTAGCTCAGAGGGGTCCTCCAATGGAAAGCCATTCAGTTTGTCACCGTGGGCCCCATCAACCCCCCTTGTCCCACAGCCCCTGCATTATCCACCTCAACCCCCCTCCTTTCTCCGTGTTTTCCTGGAACCCAGATCCGCACTTAAGGTGGCTTCGGGGTGGGGGGTGTTCCAACCGATGGTTTCACGACTGACGATCATGGGGGACTCACGGCTCACGACCTTCACCCCTCACAAGTTTCACCCGCGCGTCCTCGGACGCTTCCACGTCCTCTGCACCGTCCGAGCTAGTAGACCCAGAGCTGAACGGGGTCGGCGGGAAGTCGAATAAGCCATCGGGCGGTTCGGACTCTGGATCGTCGGATCCTGGATCGGCCCTCGGGCCACGGCGGCTGGAAACCTCGCCCGCCACACGCTGGTCATCGCCCCCATCCCCATCATCAGAACTGAGGCCGCTGACAAAGAGGAGGCCCTCGTGCGGCTCACCCTCGCGCACCCCCTCGTCGCCAGAAGAGAAACTGCCGAAAAGGTCCGCCTCCTCCGAAGTTGCCATCGGGCTCAGTGGCCCTTCTCTTGGGGAGAAGTCGTCATCGTCACTGCCGTATTTCGGGGGTTTCGGGGGTGCTTTTTGACGCCTCCTACGCGTTGAATTCTTCCTCCCGCCAAAGTCGGGAACCTCGAGGTGCTCTACGAGCACCATCCTGGGGTCGATGTTGGCGACGGGCTCGTTGCCGTCGACCACGCTGTACAAACGAAAAGACCACTCGGACGAGTGCCTGAAAATGTTGTCGATCAGGCGCATCATCGCGTGGTAGACGTCGGTGCCTCGGAGCTGCAAGTACCCGCGAGCGTCGATGGACTGGTCTGGCCACTCCAGCACCCGACAAGCAAACTTCACGGGCGACCAAGTCATAAATGAGATGTGCACGAAGATATCGATGTCATCTGGGACGACTCGCTCACGATCAAGATCTGATTCTTCAGAGTCGGATAGATACGAAGACTGCAACCTGACCACGATGCCACCATCATCAACTGCCGACTTCGACTTCTTGGTCGGAAAACTGCGTGAGATCATGCGGCACAGCCAAAGCTTGAAAGCCCACTTGTCATCACCTGCATCATCACATAAGCAAACGCCTGCATATTGACAACTCCACTTCTCATGGGGCGGCCTCTTGGGAACATCTGGTATTGGAGGCTGGTCGGCGTGAACGACAACGTCATGCAATGACGCGTCCCATTCAGTAACCAAGGAGCCCAGCAGCTTCCTGCTATTCTCCACCATGTCGCCCACGAGTCGAGGAACGTGCTTCGCTGCAGAAAAGAACCACATAGACACGCACTCTCGCTTGGTGGAGGCCTGGCACTTCAGCTCCCCAGCCACGTCGGAGAGACCTGGGACAGCCTCTCGAACTGCTTGTCGGGCCTTCTCGCTGGCAGTTTCTCGGAGGACCTTGAGAGATGATGCAATGGAATGTTCTGCTTCCCTTCGGGCCACGCGCACGGCTTCAGCATCGTAAGTCGACGTCGAGAGCGCCGTCGCCAAACCCTGCACGCTTGGAACAATATCAGTACACCCAGCACTGACAACCGCAGGGGTCGAAGTAGAGTCCAACAGTGCTTGACCACGACGTTGCTTAGCAGCCCTCGCAACAGCTCTGTCGATATCCATCGCTCTCTTGCCGAAACTGTGGCCTCCATAACGATGCCTGAGGGTTGCAGCTCGAGCGTCTTCAAGCATGCTGGCAAGCTCATCTTGCGAAAGTGCCCTGTACTCAGCTGCGAGCGACCTGGCGTCGAAACGATGAGAACCTCGGCACCTCATGCTGACGAAGAGCCTCCAGAGACCTCCTCCTCCGCGTCGCTGGCGTGGCCCAGGCTCAAGCTTGCCCTCGGCCTTCGCCTTCAACGCCTTTTTCTTGACCTTCCAACTCCTGCGACGGGTGCATCGGGGCTTCCTCCAGCCAGGCGGCGTAGTCCAATGACGCATTCTAGAACGGAGCTTCGAAATGAGCTTGTGCGCGCTGAGTTTCGCAATCGACGGTAAGACAACGTGAGTGCTCCAGACGTCTGACACGTGCTCGATACCAGCATTGCCATTCTCGAGCTGCACTGTATCCAACTGGGCTAACATTGAGATCGCCGTCAGTTCAGCCAAAGCGAACTCTCCATCTACATTATCGATGCCGTAATAATCCAAGAAGCCTTTCGTGTACTCGTCCATGCCGCTGCTGCAAATACTCATCAACTTAACTTTGGCAACCTCTGGGTTCACCAGCAACATGAACAATGCGAACGGGTAGGTGTCGTGCACCGCGGCGAGCTCCGTGAGGAGAGCAGCCTGCCTGGACAGAAGCTTGAAAACCATATTCGAAAGGGAAAGGGTCCTCTGCGTTGGTGGAAGGCAATCGAGCAGAGCTGCTCGATCATGCAACGTCGAGATCTCCTGCAAAGCGGTATGTTCCAGGATACCCTGAGCAGCTAGCAGCAACGGCCACTCACGGGCTTGGGCAATGCTGACGTCGCTGGACTGGATGGCCTTCAAAGACATCATCGTCTTCCACTTGTCACCAGAATGCTGAAGCCTTGCGTGCATGTAGTGCACCATTGGATCAGCAGCGAACCTGATCCCGAGAAGTCTATCAGCAGGAAAAGTTGCCATCCACGCATGAGCCTTGTGTCTCTGCCCCATGTTCTGCTTCGCCATGGCGGCCGCTGCTGCTCCGGCGGAATCGCGAGGAAGCTGGTCCTCACCAGCACCTGCAGCCGCCCCTGGGGCAAGGTCGTCCAAGTCAGCTGGGTCGTCGTCCTCCAGGGCGCCTGCAATGTGGACGTCCTCAACCGCATCGAAGTGCACGCGCGGTGGCGGCGCGCCGCCACCCCCCCCCCAGCTTCTCGCCCATGTCCGTGCGAAACTGGATAAAAGCCTCGGCGTGAAGGTTGTGTATGCAACATGGAACCCCATGGTCGGCCATTGTCTTGTCCAGACCAGTCCAACGGTTCCGAGGGAATTCGAACGGAGCGTGAGAATACAAGATCGGAATCAAAACATCTCCGAGTAGATCTGCAACCTGCTCAACGGTCTCGTCGCCAAACCTCTGCCAAGCGTAATCACCGCGAACTCGCCAATCACCTGGTGCGAGCCTCAGCAAAGCTGCTCGCTTATCCCTGTGCTCTGGGGCGGCTCCGTAAAACACGTCGAGAACAAGATCTTTATATTTCTTCGCATCGTCGTCCAAGTGCACGTGGTCGTATATAGTCAGCATATTCTTGATGCACGTCTTAGCCGAATCCCTGAACCTGAGCATCATGCAGAAGTTGTTCAACGCAAAAGTTGTATTGACCATGCCTGTGATGTCCCGAGAAACAGCAGGGAACGCCATCGATTTGGTGTGCATGTTGGAGGCGAAGTGGACTTCGCAATGCACATGTATGTTCCACCACCCTTGGCGACCAAGCATCAAGCCCCTCTCTGTCCTGCCATTGTACGCGGCACCATCTGTATCGGCAAGGCGGATCTTGCGTGGGAATGCTTCTCGAGAGGGCGATCCAGGGTCAAGCTTACGGATACACTCTAGAAGCGTTTCTGCAGTCGACCTGTCCACGGCCAACAGGAGCGTGCTGAGGTGGCCAATGACAAAGTGAATCACACCACCAGCACGAAATACGAGCGCAACAGCGTTGGAAGCATGCTGAACCTTGGTGAAGCCATACGAAGTATCGGGCCTCCTGCGCAAACTCATCTCATCCCTCAGCTTCTGGATGATGGCCAGCTCTTCGGCGCAGGAGGCCGACTCTGGAGCTGGGGCCGTCTGGGCGAAAGATCTGTTGAATGTTCGTGTCAAGAGCTTCAGATCCACGCCATCGTACGTTCCATAATCTATGTAAGCAATCAACTCGGTGCCGACGCCGTCAACGACGGATGCCTCGATGCCGTGCCAACTCCTCCGCTCAAGGTGCCAGCAGCACGCCGAAACTGCAGATGAGAGCGAGCGGAGGTCAGCTCTGGCAACATCTGCGACCGTGGCGGCGGCAGCACCAGACGTAATGTGTTGTGAATCGCTGTCGAGCAGCGCTGAGGCGACGTGTCCAGCAGGCCCGATGTCGTTCTGGCAGGCCGACTGCTGGATGCCCGCGGCTTGGCGGGCGATCTGCTCGGCCAGGGGCAACGCCAGGAGGGCGTCGGCGACAGGGGCTGCCGCCGCGGAGCTCACCTCGAGGGCGACGGCGGCGTCGCCGTGCTCACTGGCGCTGGTGTCGCCTGGATCGCCCTCGGGCAGCCCCTCTGGGGCCACATAATGCCAGCGCGTAGCGTTTCCAACGGCGAGCGGGGGCATGAGGCTCGGGCCCAAGCCAAAGCCTCATGCATCCGCCCGCCAATGGAATCGCTAAGGGTAGGCATTCGATGGCCATGCCTCTCCCACGCGCGCCAGCGCATCGAGCAGCTCATCTCCGTCTGCGCCGTCCACGGCGTCGGCGCCCGAGCCGATGGCGCCGAGAGCGGCGCCGAGCTCGTCGGCCACTCTGGCGCCGTCGCCGTCGGCGCCCGAGCCGATGGCGCCGAGGGCGGCGCCGAGGGCGTCCATGCCGCCTCGCGCCACGGAGCCCCTTGGCGGGACTGGCTCCGCCAAGGGCCGCGCCAAAATGGCTGCGGTGGAGGAGGAGGAGGGGGCGGTGGAGGATCTGGCAGGAAGGCCAATTCCCTTTGGTTTAACCCCCTGTCTTATGATTTTGCACGGGGGCCCACGGGGTCTTAGTAGAGCAAGGGCCACGCAGGGCCACGGGCCACGAGAGGGCCACGAAGGGGCCACGCGAGGGCCACGAGAGGGCCACGCAGAGGCCACGGGTCATGAGCATCACTGAAGAATTTGCGAGGATGTCACAAGCAAAAACCAAGCGCGAGATCGAGTCTGACGATCCTGGCCCTGTGTCCTCCTCCTCCACCCCCCTCCGTACCTCCTCATTCGCTGTTTGTTGCGACGTGCTCTTGCGTGCGATGGAATGGTAGGTTTTGCTCGTTATGCGATACGATCTGTGGTATGGCCGCGGAACGAAAACACAACGATTTGGCAAATCCGCGTTTGAGGCTGCAGAACGAAATCGGGACAAAAACGGAACGACTTGCAGGACGATTTGACTGACCTTGCGGAACGACCTGCGGGACGACCGCAGGTCAAAATCAGGACAGAAACCTTCCCCCCCCCCTGTAGCAGACACCGCCGACTCGGCGCTAGGGCAGCGGTCGCACTGATGCCTCAAAAGACCGCCGGTGAGGTACCGGCCAAACCTGTTGTCTGTGGTACGGAGCAGGAGAATGGTAGTGTTGTTGTGGGCGGGGTTTTTGGGGGCCACCGTCACCAGTCGCAGGGAGGAAAGAGGGGTGTCGGCGTCTGGGCTGTCCACGGGGGGGCTAGCGGGAAGGGGACCTGGCGCGCGCCTGTGCCGGGCTTGGCGCCTCCGAGACTGGCGAAGTGTGCTGCCATTTTGTCGCCTGTTGGCACAGGGAGTCCCTTGGCGGTGAAGTCGGCCGTCCAGCCGGTGTTGCAATGCCACTGGCAGTCTTGTCCCATCCTGCTGCACTCCAGCCGGCTAGCGGCCACCGTATTCCTAATGCTGGTGTCGACCCCTGTGCCACCGTTCTCATTGCCGGGGTCGAAGGGACCCTGCCCGCAGTGGTCACAGACACACGCACACACACACACACACACTCCTCCTCCTCCTCCTCCTCCTCCTCCTCCTCCTCCTCCTCCTCCTCCTCCTCCTCCTCCTCCTCCTCCTCCTCCAGCATGAACACGCACACAAACCATTTGGGAGACCATCCCGTTTGGAGACGCCGTCGCCGTCGACGTTACCGATTCCAGAGAAGGGACGACGAGCCCTGACGGCGACCACGAATAGGACCAAGACGACGACGACGACGACGACGACGACGACGACGACGACGACGACGGCGACGGCGACGGCGACGGCGACGGCGACGGCGACGGCGACGGCGGCGGCGACGGCGACGACGGCGACGGCGACGGCGACGGCGACAGAGAACGCGGCGGCTGCGGCGACAATCACATTTGAGCTCACGGCGCCTCTGGCAACGAGCCGCGGACAGGCCAGGCGGGCACCTCCTGCCCACAGCCCAGCCGGTGTCCCCTCTGCCTGCCGATACCCCTTCCTCCTCCTCCTCCTCCTCCTCGGCCAGCAGCTGGTCTACCACCCCAAGGACCTCATGGACGCGAAGGCGAAGAAGTACCAGCAGCTCTGGGCCCCGACGGCGCCCAAGTTGCAGGATGTGCGCGAACTCTTCAGGCAGATCAGGCTCCGTGCCAGCGACGACCCCTTACCGTCGCTGCACGTGGCCGACATCGGCAAGGCGGCCTCACGTATGAAGGCCAAGGCAGGCATGGGCATCGACATGGTCACCCCCGTCGACTACCAGAGGCTTCCCATGGAGGGCCAAGCGGAGTTACTACTCATCCTGGAGGCGGTGGAAGCCACACTGGCGTGGCCAGCGCAGACGTTGGCCGTCATCGGGAAGCTCACTCCCAAGAAGACGGCCGGCGACCGAGCCATCGGGCTAGTATCGATGCTCGGACGGCTGTGGTCATTGATGCGCGAACCCACAGTCCAGACCTGGTCGGCCGAGAGTGCTCGCCACTGGGACGCCGCCCTGCCAGGCAACTCATGCCTTCAGGAGGCCTTCCTGAGGGCGCTGGACGAGGAGCTTGCCCATGCCATGGGCATCAAGTACGGCCACGGGATGCTCGACATCGCCACGTTCTACGACAGCATCCCGTGGGACATCCTAGTCGCCGCAGCTCTGCGGCTAGATTTTCCTCCTGTTATCCTATATTTGGAATTGTTACAGTGCGCTGCTCCCCGTTGTCTGGAGCAGGACAATGCTGTGTCCGAGATGTTCGACCCGCAGCTCAGCGTAGTGCAGGGTCTCCGTTCGGGGACCCGCTTCGCCAAGATGATGACCCACCACGTCATGGTCACGGTCACCACAGCCCATCCGAGAATGGGGGCGAGGCTATGGGTTGACGACGTCTCGGAGACATTCAAGGGTTCCAGCAAGGCGGTGCGCCTGGAGCTCGCCAGTGGCATCATCACCACGTGCCGTGAGCTGCAGGCGAGGAAGCTCAAGGTTGCGGACAAATCGGTCGTGGTCTGCAGCCTCATGAGTGACGCGCGTGCTGTTGCCCGCTTAGTCCGACGTGCTGGATTTACGATTCGGCCAGTGTCCCAAGCCACCTACCTCGGCATCGATTTCGGATGCGGCAGGAGGGTGAGGGCCACCAGGGTGCAGCGTGAAGCGAAGCATCGCCTCATGAGCACCAAGATCCGCAGGTTCACCAGAGCCACCCGCCAGTACAGCGCCATGACCAAGCTCCAACGCCAGGGAGGGCTCCCCGCGGGCGTCTACGGCCACCAGGTCCACGGGCTCTTCGGCGAGCAGTTGACCAGGTGCAGACGACGCTTGGCTCAGACATGCGCCTCATCGGCGCGCGGCCGATGCCTTACCACGGTCCTGGCCCTGCGGGCCCCTGACGCTGACCCAGCAGTGCTTTACCCCGTGCAGACGGTGGACACTTGGCTCAAGATCTGGAGGGATTGCCCAGATATCCGAGCAGGTGTTCGCAAGGCGTGGCCGATCATTTTAAAGCAGATGCAGGCTGTACCCGTCCCAGCACAGGTACGGCAGATCCGAGG